CTCTCCCTCCTCCCCTCCTCCCTCCTCCCTCCCTCCTCCTCCTCTTCCTCATCCTCTCTCCTCTCCTCCTCCCTCCTCCTCCCTCCTCCTCCTCCTTCCCTCCTCCTCTCCTCCTACTCCTCCTCCTCCCTCCTCCTCCTCCTCCTCCTCCCCCTCCCCCTCCTCCTCCTATCCGCCTCCTCCCCTCCTCCTCCTCCTCCTCCTCCCTCCTCCTCCCAGGAACAGAAGGAGAGGCCCTCAATGTGCCGTGGTTCGTGTCTAGCGAGACGTGGGTGAATGCTCGCGCTCAGGTTGGATTTCTGTCATCGCCGTCGCCTGCCCCTGCCTTTGCTGCCTCTGTAGCCGTTCGGCTCGGATCTGGGTCCGTAGGTCCAGTTTCGGCCCTTTATGGTTCGTGGGTCAAGGCTGTGGAGAAGGCGGTGTGCGATGATCACGGCATAGCGTCACTACCAGGTATCTCTCGCTCCCAGCGTTATAGATTTGTGATTCAGGAAGTTCGGGCACCGAATAAGTCACGCGTCGCTCCATTTAGCAATATCATCGCTTCTTGGTGGGAACAGCTTTCGGTCGTTCTGGAGCGTCTCGAGGGACATAGATCTAAAGGGAATGGGGTGGTTCAGCGTGAGCAGTTGAGGAAGGCCCTCCGTCATCTTCTGGACGAGGCCCCTGATAGGGCCCACACGGGTATCAGGTTGGGGTTGGAGCCCTCCTGGATGGCTTGGTCCCAGATCTTGCAGCGGGGGGCTTCGGCTTCAGCAAGTATCCTTCAGAAGTTTGTCAAATCAGCGCAGCGTGTTGCAGCGCGATGTAGACGGCGAGCTTTGCGAGCTTCGCTGGACGAGTTCAAAGATTGGCTAACTACAGAAGGGGCGGAGGGTCCACTGCATCGTTCCATGCGTGCCGACCCGCATGTTGGCGATGAGCTGGTTACTGATTCGGCTGTGTTCTGTAATCCTAGCGGCGTGGTGGATGAGAAGGGCAAGCCTTTTTTTTATCAAGCTATGGACCCCAGACCCTGTGGACGCGGATTCAGTCTGTAATGCTTTTGTAGAAGTGCGGGCAGCAGTGCAGCTCGAGCCTCTAGGGCCTTTTTGGAAATCGCAGATATCCGCGCGGCCGCCCGCTCGATGAAGCCGCGAGCTGCTTCGGGAGCTGACGTTCTCGCGCCAGGGGATTTTGAACATTTGCCCGATCTGGCTCTCGATGAGTTGCGTGTTCTGTATTCGGTTGTTGAAGAAACTTTGGCTTGGCCGTCTCAGGGTTCTCTGGTCCTTGGGAGGTATTTGCCCAAGACGTGTAAAAAGGGACAGGGTGATCGGAGTTTTGACCATGTTCATTCGAGTGTGGTCGAAAGCCAGGGAGCCCATGGTACAAGCATGGAGTTTGGCCAATGAGCCAAGCTGGGATGCTGCTGTCAAGGGCAATGGGGCTCTGCAGGAGGCGTCTTTCGAGTTTGGGAAGATGGGGTGACGGGAACTTTGGGTTTACCATCAGGAAAAAGTTTACTCGACGTGGAAGGATATTACGACTCAGTGGATTGGGTAGTACGTATTGGGACAGCCCTTAAGCAAGGCCTTCCACCAACTATACTATACCTCGTGCTGTTGCTCTGTGTGTGCCCTCGCACTCTAGGTCAGAGTGGATCCTGCGCCGAGGCCTTATGCCCGTCTCGTTCCATCATCCAGGGGCTCAGGTCAGGAACTAGGTTTGCCCGTCTTTATATATGTATATGTCTACATATATGTATATGTATATATATATATATATATATATATATATATATATATATATATATATATATATATATATATATATATATATATATATCCTGCTCCGCATAACGACGGTTCACGAAAGTATGGCGACGAGGATTTGGATCGACGGTTTGTCACAGCGTATGGTAGGATCCAGAGCGAGCATCCGCGAGCAAGTGTATCGCGGCCTGCTGGACACTTGCCAAGGTCTCACCAGTGTGCAGCTTCGCTTGTCACCGAAGTCGGTGGTAATATGTTCTCACGTCCCCGATGCCAAGATTGACTAAAGCAGGTCATCCTGTTACGGCGATTGCACAGGCGGGTTATTCGGGGACCGACTTGGGCGGAGGACCCAGGCATGCACGGGGCACTCGTATTCGACGAGTCGTCAAAGGAGCGGCAATGCATTCTCGAGTATTGCGTTTCTCGCGTGCGACTCGTAAGTATGGTGTTAAAGCTAAGCTCGAGAGAGCTGGCACGCTTGCTGTTCAATTATATGGCCATCACATTCATTGGGTTTTCGGCTCGTCAATGATACGTTGCCGTCGTCACATGGGGGCTGCGTGTGGCTCTGGGAAAAAAAGGAAGGTGCCTCACGACCTTGTTAGACCTCAGGGCACCTATGGGCGACCCTGCTGTTCATTTCCCACGGCTGTGTTTTGAATTCTGGATGAAGCAATGGATCATGCGACCGTCCCTTAGACCAGGCGTTCGCAGAGCCTGGCCCGCTTCGCTGCAGAAGTTTCGGTTAGTTGCTCCACGGCACCGCTCGCGCCATGTCCGTGGGCCAATGGGGGCGATTCTGCTTCCTCTGCTGGATGCGGGCTGGGATCCTTTGGAGCCTGATCATTGGAGAGCCCCGTCAGACTTCCCTGGAGATCTTGAGGCTTGGAGGTTTCCTGAGGAGGGTCTCTCGGGTCACATGATTTTGGATTCCCCTGAACCGGTTGTTCGGGATGCTATGTTTTCTACTCAGTCCAAGCTGTGGCGCGGTGCCGCGGAGCACTGGTGCGGAGATGGAGCCCAGAACGGAGTCGATAATACTTCGCATCGCCGGCTTATTTCCCAGTTTAACTTGGCGTTCCAGGGGGGACGCTTGAGCGAGCTCATGACAGCGATTGCGATTGGGGGGATTTGGCCCAGAGCCCGTATTAAAGCAGAGCTGGATGCCAGCTTTGACGAGCTATGCCCACGGCGTCGTAAATGTCCTGAAGCGGCGTGTCATCGCGCTTGGGGATGCGGTGATAATGTTGGAGCTGCGGCTTACGAACAATCGCAAGACTTGATTGCAGAAGCTTCCGTTCAGGCAAACGCTCTCCCTTCCTTTTGGCCGCGCGGCCTTATTCCTGCCTCTGCTACTATGCTGCTGCCTCCGCCCGATGCGGAGTTCTGGTGGACCTCGGACTGCAACGATTTGAGTGCTGGATCATTGGGCCGTGGTGGACCTGGGGGCCCGCTCCTGGTCTTTGGAGACGCTTCTGGTGGAACAACTTCGGGCGATCGCAGATTTCGTCGGGTCTGCCTATCTGTTGTGTCCTTTGATTGTTTCTTCCCGCTCACAATTTGTGCGTCGGTGTTCGGACGGCTTCTTGGCGCTCACCAATCTGTGCCCCGCGGGGAGTTGCTGGCGTTTGAGCTAGCAGTGCGCACGACTGTTGGGCATCTTTGTCATGTGACCGACAATGAGTCTGTGAGACGGTTTTTTGAAGTCGAAAGTATGAGGCACCTGGGGGTGCCAACGCTGACCTGTGGCTGAGAGTATCGACCCTCCTGGCACAGCGGGTAGGTGAAGTAGCTATGCGGCTCACCAATTCTCATCTTTCGAGTGCGGACATGATTGATCGTGGCATCCCTTCGGCCATCGTTGCTGGTATTGTGGTCGCTGATGAGCTCGCGGGGGAGGCCGCGGCCCGTGCCCAGATTCCAGAGGCGATTAGGCACGAGGTCACGATCGAGGAGAAACGCGCCTGGCAGGTGCGCCGCCGCCTGCTGCGAGCGCCCCTGGGCGCCATGCAGGCCGAGGAGCGGGGTTGGTGTGGCAGGAGATCGGGGCCCTCTCGCCCGCCCCCTCGCCCTCCCGCCCCTTCCCTCGTCGCCGCCTTTTCGTCGCGGCACCAATTTGATGAGTCCCGCAAAAGATGTCAGACTTGTCTCGGTTCAGCCACTGTAGCCACTCGGAAGGAGTGGCATGAGTCTTCCTGTTTCACCCCGACCCTTGTTAATGAGAAGTGTTTGGCCCTTCCCCTGGGGGTGCGGCTCCACATTGCGGGGGGTTGGGCTCACGAGACACATTCCATGAGGCTCCAGAGGGCCCATAATGTTTGGTTTTGTCAGGTTGGCGGTGTCTATGCTCATGCTTCCATGCGTGAGCTGTCGAAGCCATGTTCTCATAAACTTGACCCCCCATCGCCGAGAATACTTGTCTCGAGTAGATGATGGGTTGTGGCCGAAAGCTCTCACTCGAGCTGAGCAGCTCACTCGTGCCCGGTAATCCCTGAACCGCTACGTGTGGTAGCCTGTTCCTGTTCCTGTTCCTGTTTCTCCTCCTCCTCCTTCTCCCCCTCCTCCTCTTCCTCCTGCTCTGGCCACTTCCTCCTCCTCCGCCTCCTCCTCTCTCCTCTTTTCTCCCCCCTCTCTCTCTCTCCCCCCCTGTTTCCCCCCCTCTTCTCCTCCTCTCCTCTTCTTTGCTTGCTCCTCTTTCCTATTTCCTCGTTTTCCTCGCTCCCTCCCCCGTCTCCTCCTAAGGCCTGGGTGTACTCCTTCGTATCCTCCTCTTTCTCCCCTCCCTCGCCTTCTCCTGAAATGAAAGGGGGGTCAGTTCGCATCTCTTTTCTCCTGCCGTTGATCATCATCCTGGCGATCTCCGCTCGTCGCCTCCGCCGGTCCCCGACCCATGACCAGCATCAGTTCTCTCGGCGCTGCGCCAGAAAAAGGGAAGACATCTTCGACCTCTTATGCAGGCTGGTCGTGGGCCTTCCTCGGGCAGTCGTGGGGCGGTGCTTGACCGCCTTGATCAGAGCCCCCCTGGTTCCGGCGGGGGTCCGAGGATTTCGAGACGGACGAAGGGACTGGAATTTGGAAAGAGGGGGTTCGGAAATCTGTTGCGTGCATCAGATCTCGTCCTCGCGGCAACGCGCCTCCTTCGATACAGGACCGCTTCTGGCGCCTGGATGTGTCAGCACAAACCGGCTGCATGGCGCTGAGTCGCTACCCCCCTTGCTATCGCCCTATTTCGTTTCCCCGGAGGATCGCATCCTCAAGAGAATCCCCATCGTGAACTTGTTCAACTTCCTCGAGCTGGGGCTGGCGCTTCAGCCCCTCTACTCCTCCAGCTCCGCGTCCTGACGCGATCATGGCGCTGGAGATTGAGGAGGAGGAGGAGGAGGAGGAGGAGGAGGAGGAGGAGGAGGAGGAGGAAAAGGAGGAGGAGGAGGATGGGAGAGGTGAGTAGGAGGCCTAGACGAAGGACAAGCATGAGGAGGAGAAGGAGGAAGTGGCGGCGGCGGCTGACAGGACAGCCTTGCTTGGGCGAGGACTGGGGAGTGGTCGCGATGTTGCCAGTCCCAGATAGTCCCAGTGTTGGCGATGGCAGAATTTACGGTGATGTTCAGGATGGCGAGGTAGATAGTCGCGTAGTGGAAGGCGGATGGGGTGAATGATTTGCTCTCGCTCGCAATAGTCACAAATCTGGTGTGCTCAGCGCTCGGTTGGCCAAAAGAGCGCAGGACCTCTGGGCGCCCTCCCGTTCCCGCCTCGAGCGCTCTGCCATCTGTGCCCTCGTCCGGCTTGCCTCTGGGCATGTGCTTCTGCGCCTCCCTGCGCAATCCTCCTTCCCCACCTGTCACCCCGTCCCGCCTGAGCACATCCGTGGCGGCCGCGCGGACAGCTTCGCAGCCGCAGCGAGGGACGACTCCATGGCGAGCCTTAAGTCGGGCCTGTCCCTTACACAGGAGGAGTATCCAAGAATAGTCGGAAAATAGCCCGGGGACTCTGCTTGGACCATGCTTGAGCATTGGGGGCGCATGCTTCGAGTATGCTCAAGTTGCCGCCCAGCATGCCCCCTGTAGAGGGGACAGGCCCGACTTACGGCGAGCCCTCGGATGCAGAGTGCGGTGGGCGCGCGTCGAGGCGCGGCGCGTGGGAGGAGGAGGAGGAGGAGGAAGAAGAAGAGGAGGAGGACGAGGAGGAGGAGGCGAAGGAGGAGGAGGAGGAGGAGGAGGAGGAGGAGGAGGAGGAGGAGGAGGCAGCCTGCGGCGCGCGTCGAGGCGCAGCGTGCGCTCGGGCGAGAAGCCCGGGGCCCCGCAGGGGAGCCAGCGCTCGCGGGGACGCCGCGTGGGAGGGCGCCGCCGCGCGCGCGCGGGCGCCCCAGGCGGCCGACGCCACGGCCTCCTCGCGGCACGGCCCGCGGGCCCCTCTACACGCTTCCCCCTTTGGGGGCGCGTCCTGGGGAAGCGCTAGATTTCAGTCGGGCCTGTCCCTCTACAGGAGGAGTATTGAAACATAGTCAAAAGATCACATGTTGTTGGACCATGTTTGCATATTTTTGAGTGTTTAAGCTGTTTGTCCAAAACCCCCCTGTAGGAGGACAGGCCCGACCTAACGCTGAATGAGGGGGGGGGGCAGCGAGGGCTCCAGGGCCCCCAAAGGAAGGCGGCCTTCAGGGCCCAGGAGGGGCCACAAGGGGCCCTCGAGGCGAGGCCCTTTTTAGGACCTAGAAGGGGCCCTTGAGGGCCCGAAGGGGCTCCTTTTGGGCCCTAAGGCGCCCAGAAGGGGCCCCCCATCACGCAATTCGGACCGAACCCTCTGGGGGAGAGCAACCTCTCACGCCCAGCCGTCTCTGGGCGGTCACCCGGGGGCCAGCCGCGGGTGGGCTTCGCAGGACGAGCCTCCGGAGGAGGGGGCCGTGGGGATGTCCCCCCCGGGGCGCCGGAGGGAGGAATGAGGAGGAGGCGGAGGAGGAGGAGGAGGCGGAGGCGGCGGAGGAGGAGGAACCAGAGGAAACGGAGGAGGCGGAGGCGGAGGAGGAGGAGGCGGAGGAGGAGGGAGGAGGAGGAGAGGAGGAGGAGGCGGTGGAGGAGGGAGGAGGAAGAGGAGGCGGAGGAGGGGGAGGAGGAGGAGACATGAGTCAGGGGCCAGGAATCAGGAGTCAGGAGACAGGAGGAAGAAGGAGGAGGAGGAGGCGGAAGCGGCAGAGGAGGTGGAGGAGGAGGTGGAGGAGGAGGAGGAGAATGAGGAAGAGGAGGAGGATGCGGAAGCGGCGGAGGAGGTGGAGGAGAACAGAGGAGGAGGAGGAGGAGGCGGAGGAGGAGGAAGAGAAGGAGGCGGGGAATGGTTGTTCGTAAAGAGTTTGCTCAGGACGTTATCCCGAGAGCGAATGCTGCCTCTCGTTTGTGCGCCACTCGTGGTAAGAGGTCCCATTCTTTTGTTCAGCGTGTCTCTCTCATCGGCTGCCACCGCTGTGGGTATATCTCCTCGTCTCGGCGTGCTACGCTTACAGCGCCCTGCTCCAGCAACCTTCCTGATTGGGCGCGAAATCTATGGCAACGTCTTGACTGACGTGAGTACAGGCACATGCAAGCTGTAGGCTCCAGAGTTCTCAGCGTCTTTGAGGTTATCCCGAGGTCTTGAGAATTTGTTATGCTTTCCGTTTGTGGCTCGTCGGAGGATTTTCGGTGCGCTATGTCTTGCCCAGAAGGAGGCGGCTGATGGGGAGGAGGCGGAGAGAAGTCGGAGAGGAGGCGGAGAGGAGGAGGAGGAGGCGGAGGAGGAGGAGGAGGAGGAGGAGGAGGAGGAGGGGGAGGCGGAGGAGGAGGAGGCGGAGGAGGAGGAGGAGGAGGAGGAGGAGGGGGCGGAGGAGGAGGAGGAGGAGGAGGAGGAGGAGGAGGCGGCGGAAGCCACGATTGACCAAGTCCGGGTGCCGCGCCCGGAGCCGCCTGGCGCCTCCGCCACAGCCGCGGCCAGGGCCGCGGCGCCGGGGGCCGCCGCCGGGGGCTGGGCAGGAGCTTGCTCTGTCTCGGGGGGTCCATCCGCCTCCCCTTGTTGCTGCTTCCTCTCTCTCTCTCCATTCCCCTTCGTCCTCACCATGGTCCACAACCGTCACCATCCTCCCATCATCCCTCTCACCGCCTCCCCTTGACCCCCCCATCCAGTTGGGAAGTAAGCGCGACTATTCCAGAGAGGGATCAGTTCCCCACCCCCCCTCCTCCCCCTTCTGCCCTCTCCTCCCTTTCTTATCACTTCTCCTCCCGCCTCCCCTTGCCCCTCCCTCTCCTCGTTCTCTTCCTCTTTCTGCTCCTCCTCCCCTTCTCTCCCTCTTTCTCTTCCTTCTTTCCCTCCTCTCCCTCCTCCTACACTCCTTCCGTGGCGGGTTTGGGCGGCCATCTTGGCACAAAGGAGCTCGAATGCCCACCTGTAGTGCCAGAATTGGGGGAGGGGGCTTTGTTACAGAGTGGCTCAAGCGAAACGGCCCTTCTCGGGCGTCAGGAGCAGTCCCGCGGGAAGCCGCGGCACACTCCAGGAAGTCCGTGAGTTGGGGGTCTGGGCCCTATATGTTCAATTATCCAGGACTGGACTCAAGGAACTTGGGGACAGTCCGCTACATGCCAGAAGCATGGGTGCGGTTTGAATTTGTGTGCAATTCATAAGTGGATTCGTATATGAGTGCATCCGTGTTTCGCTGCTGGAGCCGCCACGCCCGGTAGAAGGCGCATGATGATGATTTTGATGCTGATGCTGATGCTGATGCTGCTGCTGATGATGATGATGATGATGATGATGATGATGATGATGCGGATGAAGATGATGATGCTGCTGGTGATGATGGTGATGATGATACTGATGATGAAGATGATGATGCTGATGATGATGATGATGATGCTGATGTTGATGATGATGATGATGATGATGATGATGATGATGCTGATGATGGCGGTGATGATAATGATGATAATCACGTTTTTTGTCTCGCGTTCATGCGGTATCTGCAAACTAGTGCCGTTGCTTGTACTTCCCCTGGTTACGTGACCATGTGTGTTTGTGTTAGGTGTACGCAATATTTGAAGGTCGCTGCGCTTCGCCTTAAAGCTTAAAGTCTATATGTACCTATATACATATATATGTATATACATACACCTATACGACCACACTTCGGGTGATAAGGAGGTTGTGGTGGGGGGGGAGAGGGTGGGGAAACCAACAACTGGCTCAATCGATCTCACTATTGTTCCCACTCAGCGGGACACCACGGGACACCACGGGCCACCGCGGGCCACCGCCGGACGGCCGGACGGGGGAGCAACAGTTGTCTTGACTTCGCCCTAGCAACGGCGGGTTCCTTCCTCTCGCGCGCCAACGCAGCTTCGCCTCGCCTCGCCCGCACGCACGCACGCCTGTCGATCTCACTATCGATCTCATTATCGATCTCACTCAACGGGACACCACGGGACACGACGGGCCACGAAGGGACACCACGGGACACCGCGGGACACCTGGCGATCTCATTATCGGTCTCACGATCGATCTCACTATCGATCTCTCTCAACGGGAAACCATAGGACACCACGGGACACCTCTGGACACCACATCGATCTCACTATCGATCTCCCTATCGATCTCACTATCGATCTCACTCAGCGGGACATCACGGGACACCACGGGACACCTGTCGATCTCACTATCGATCTCATTTTCTGGGACACCATGGGAAACGACGGGACACCTCGGGGCACCACATCGGTCTCAGTATTGATCTCACCATCGACCGCACTATCGATTTCACTCAACGGGACCACGGGACACCACGGGACACCTGTCGATCTCACTATCGATCTCACTTTTTGGGTCACCACGGGACACCATGGGACACCTCGGGGGCACCACATCGATCTCATTATCGATCTCACTCAACGGGACACCACGGGACACGACGGGCCACCACGGGACACCACGGGACATCGCGGGCCACCGCCGGACGGACGGACGGACGGGGGAGCAACAGTTGTCTTGACGTAACCCTAGCAATGGCGGGTTCCTTCCTCTCGCAAGCCCACGCAGCTTCGCCTCGCCCGCACGCACGACACGAACGAAGCGAAACGAAACGATTTTCTGGTTAGGGGTCTCCATTCCATTGCGATCTCACCTCCCAACCGCGATACATGTATATATATGTATATATATACCTACCTATACGACCACCCTTCGGGTGATAAGGAGGTTTGGGGAGGGAGGAACCAACGTCTCACTCGATCGGTCTCACTATCGATCTCACTATCGGTCTCGCTCGATCGATCGCACTCGATCGATCGCACAATCGATCTCACTCGATCTATTTCATTCGATCGATCTCA